GATTCCCTTCTGCGGATACCGAATGGCCGAGTTATGAATGATTTGGACAAAAATTGTCCGTGATCCTTCATCGGATTTATTCAACGTGTGTGGATCATCGCAACTAACCTAAAATCCCGCTGCCCATGAAATTGTATGCCTTTGGTCCGATCAATACAGCCGTGATGCCCATTAAGAGGCTATCCAGAAACCGGAGTATGCAAGCGCAGTGAGAGCACGCACTATCATACTCATCTGCAGCTATTCTATCTGTAATGTGGACTGTCTACTCTCGTCCTCACAGAAACCTAGCGGTGTATACGAAAAAACTGCTTACCTGGCCTCAACCGCACCTCAGAAGAGCTTCCATTGATCCGCCCAAGGCTTGCCTTGGAATTAATCATCTCGGAGCATTTCTAGATTGTCCTTTCCACAAAGTTAATGATTTTCTATAGAGTCGGTGTTCCATCCTGCGTAAGCAATAACTCATCCTACCAAGGGACTTTTACACCACACCCCGCTCCAACGACAACACCAACATTTTTATGGCACATCATGATTCTGAGATCTGAGCTCATACTTATACCTATTGCGAATATCTCCACCTAATGATCCTTTTTGGCCACTTAGCCCCAACACGGTTTTCAGTTTTAGTTGGTTTTCCAGATTCGTTGTTCTGGTTCCTTATCTTCTGCGATTTACAGTCTCTTATACCACGGCAGGCAGAATGCTCCGTTTTGCCCACGCCGTCGCGTTTTTTCTACCCTCTTCGCATTGTAATGGGCTCATCCTGCCTTAATATGATGTTCTCTAAGAGACCAAGGAAAACCCCAATAAATGTGTTCTTCTACCTTCGACGCTCACCATATTTAGATTGTGCTGTGTTGTGCATGACCCTATCTGCGTCGGATAATGCCCGTTGTTTGCATGACCACCCCTGATATCAGTCGTTCCTTTACTCTTACTGAACTATCTTGATCATACCTGACGGCATGCCGTCCACCAGCTGAGAATAAACAATGATATCATTATGCAGAACACAAACAAATGTGGGCAGATTAAACGTGCGAAAAAATCATCCAACGTAACTTACGTGTGGTATGTGCGATTTGACAACTCATGTGTGTATCAAGTGCCCAAAGTAAGTTAGCTCACCTACCTTCAGATGACCTTCACCGATATCATCACATTATGCAGTCTGCTTAAGGGTATCTCTGTTACTTCTATCAACACTAGGTTAGCTGAAAATCAGTTTGTTTACGGATCTCTTGAAATGACTCCATCCGTATATCCCAGAATTTTTGTTGTCATTAACTTGATGAATAAAGCAACACTGACTTACTTTCATCTCATCCATGTCTATTTTTGTGCTGCAGGTGACTTTGCACAGCTGATAGTGGCTTGCGATGAAACACGCATCCAGAATAATGTTGTTTCTTGTGCAATCCCTTGTGAGACTCGCATCTTGTGATTACCTTCACAGACGACAGTGTCAAGGCTTAAGAGAAAATAACTAGCTTAAACTTAGCTACTATACATTGATGGGAGAATGCAGAAAGGAGGGTGGGTGATGGACCTCAGATTCGAAAGGAGCCTTATGAATGCAGCACCGCCAGTCCACGCAATATCCCACCGAATCGATCAACTGCTGGTTAGCGGTTGTAGTGGTTTGACCACCCAAAACGTTACTTTACTACCGGAGCAAAGAAAAAAATAATAACGCTGGAGTGGGTATACAATAATAAAGAGGTCAAATGGAACAGACTCACTAATAATTGTCCTCTTTAAAACAGCTCGCCATTGACCCAGGTAAGCGAATTAACAATAATCAGATCATAGTTGTCCAGGGGTCTTCTTCCGAACAGTTCCTACATATGACAAATACCGAAAATGGTCTGAAAAGTTTTGGTACCAGAGTTAGCACATGAGACTCGCTAATGACCCCTGCAAGCGCGAGAGAAATCGGAAGACAGTCAAAGCACGTGACGGCGTTTGTATTGCGGGGTTTTTTGTAAGAGTGCGCATTTTTTGGAATTTTTCGTATTCAAACCAAAAACGATCATGCGATTGATGAAATACGTAATGACGTACTGGAAAAAAATGAAGGTACAAAACGCCACACGGTTGAGCGTCTTAAACTTGAGTTAGTGGCGATCACTTCAGGCTGTCCGTTTGACCTTGTCAAGTGATGGAACAAAAACTGGCCTCTAATCTGTAAAAAAATTTTAAAAGTTCACTTGGGATAGCCCGAAAATACTCTGCAATGCCTATGGCCTACATCGGCGAGCACAGTTTTATCTCCTTTCGTCAGAACAGAGGCTACACCGCAAAAAAGCCCATTCTGCCATCCAATCAGAGAATACATTTACTCACTCCTCCCAGTGGTATACACGGAAATCTTCATCGCTACGCACCACCTACAGATTAGAGCTGATAGCAATGCTTCAGGGACTGATGACTGTTTCTCAAGCACACACTTTCTCTCCTGGTATTTTCCAACTCATGTAACAAACACCCGAACTGTAGTGGATAACGCTGGCAAATACCAGTTCAAAGTAGTTAAGTCAAGTGAGTAAAAATAGGCGAGATGATACGACTCACAGTTCGTTGGTACAGTTAGTTATTACCACCACAATAAATCCAAATCGATCTCCTTCCTGGAATCTTCCTTAATATATTCCTAGATACTTTATATCCCGTCGTAGTCTGAAAGGCAGAGCACCGCTCGTTAAGTCATTGACAGCTTAACTCGACACGACAAGAAGGGAACATGCCTTTCACGACGTACAGAATTTGCATTGTGTGTATGCGTCCATATTTCTTTGCTTTCATTTAAACAAGTTATTCGGTATGAAGAGAAGAGGAATAAGCTGAGATTTAGTGGGAGACAGAAAGTGGTACAATTTGAGTAATGATAAGTTACAAAGAAAGTACTAATGTACAATGGTCAGAAGGATCACCATAGATCAACCAGATAACTTAGAAGTCCGTTCTCGCCGGCCCTTACAAATCTGATTCCAACACCACGCTTCTGTGCGCTTATATCGGCTTTTACTAGGTCCCTTGTAATATAATACCGTGTGTCAGCAAGCTCAGCCTCTTGTCGCTAGCCTACTAAGTACAAATCTATCTGTCTTCTACTCCATGTGATCACTTGTCATTACCCTAGTTGCAGCAGACGTCAAGTTTTTCTTTCTGTGTATATTAATGCATATTATCCCATTTCATATCCCCTCAAACTCACTATGTTTTGCGAATATCCTCCCATCCCCTCACCTTCCCAAGCTTTGAACTTCGGAAGTGTCCGTTTTGGACGACCTGGTTAGCTTATCTCCATGCCACCTGGCCTATAATCTACAACTCCGGGATCACCAAGCGGACCAAGAAAACCTACAATCCCATATCGGTTTCGTTCCAGCTTGTTTCCTCGACCAGGCTGAGATGGATACCGCTGCTCAGTGAACTGCACACCCTAGCCGAATTATCTCAAATGTGACGTCCGTCACGGGGCTGTCGGGAAACTGAAGGATGCCAGGCCAATGATAGCACGACACTGCCGTACTCAGTTTGATAGCACACCCACAACTGTTCCATTCCTCCTCTCAACCAAGCCCTCTTGCCTGTTCGTTTCATTGGCCCCAACTGCCACTATAACATTCATTCCAACCTGTTGGACCACTCGTTCGAATTCAACCACCTCTGTGTCCCCATCCATCCTAACACCTGCACCTGACTTCCCTACAACACTGCAACCAGTGAGTCTGCTCGTTCTCAGATTGCACCATATTTTTAATAATAAACTTGTCATGTTCTCCCAATTCGAATTTTCCCATCTCCACCTCCACTTTTGCTCGTTATGACTCCGGCCATTTACCCAACCGCCCAGGTCACTCATGGCCAGAAATGGTTTTCCAGTTTTAGTTCATATCAGCCGACTGAGTCTTTGAATTAGTCGGACCTCATGCCTATTGTTCCCTACAAGTTGCGAAAGAAACATTATTATTATTTAATCGAGTACTTCCCACTGTTTATGACACTGTCCCCTTTTCGCGCAATTCCCACTACCCGCAAATCCCCCTATCATACCCCAGTTTGACTGTAAACGCATGATCATGCCAGACGGCATGCCACTCACAAGTTGGGAAGATACATTATTATTATTATTATTATTATTATTATTATATTTTTGAACCAGTCATTTACTTGGACTTATCTTGTGGGTAAATCAACTCCCGTTGTTTTAAACGGGTTTGTTTGGTTTCATAATCATGCACAGTTGTGTTATTATTGTGTCGCTTTCGTGTGGTTCGAAGGTTTTCCTGAAATGATCTCCGATTTTCCACCATCTCTAGGATGGAGCTTTGTGCTCCCACGGGACTCGCGGATTCAAGCAAACATGTACATGTAGTGAGTCATAGTACCATGTGCCCTAAACGGAGAAACTTATCATTGCACAGTCCGGGCAAGTGCACAAATAACTGAATTCAACTCCATTTTGCTTCCAGAGTAATTCGGTTTTTATTATCCCCCGATTGCCCGGGGTATATTCTGTCCTACGCAGCCAGCCAACACTCCTTCACCTGAAAAGCATTTTAAGAAGTAAATTTTAATCATATTTTCCCTTTCGTGGCTGCAACTAGCCAGACGATCCTGGGTTTTATTCCACGTACACCTACGAAGTCTAAGTAGGCCTAATCTGGTTTTGGGCTTCATCGAATATTTCAGAACGTCTTTTGAACTTCGAGACATTGGTCAATAAACGGACCGTAATACCTCATCCGTTTAGCAGCGGATGCTACGTAGGTATATGTTTCTGATTTGAAAGTATTTCGCGGCATAAGGAGCCAACAACATATAATTCAAGTTCTCATGTAGACCACGGAGCTGGCCGATGTCTTTACATCGCTTTGGATTTCACTCTCACCGTTGAGGTTGGTGATCTGGACTCCAGTGTTATGTTATACCGGCTGGTTAAACGGCGAATATTTTCGTTATATACTTCTTAAAGTGATATAAGGCTCATTTAACCGCCTGTGCATGAATATGGAAGGGATTTCTTAACAAATAAAAAACAAACAAACAACTTTCTAAGGTTCTGTTAAGCACAGTTTTGGGGAGAAATATACGGATATCATTAAATCCAGGGATAATATACCAGCGATTTATGAATTGCGATGCACACGTTCAATAATTGTGGAAAGAACAAGAACACCTTAATCACTAACACTGTTGACAGATTTAGAGTGCACCAGTGAACAGAACAGGTTGAATTAAAAACACGCCCGTCTGGATGCCGAGAATCTTACGCTTTACAGTGACATTGATTCTAATGTCTTTGATGTCACCGAAGTACTGCAAGAATTTTACCCGTAGTACAAGTCAACGTACAAATAAGTACAAGCCTCAATCTGTCTCCAAGCAAAGATAAATCGAACAAAATCATTTGTACAGCATATAATCGCGAACTAAAATCCACCGCGAAAAATCTGCTAATTTATCAAAAACAGATAAAGATTCGGTAATGCCATTGCAAAATCCCAAGATGTGGCATAAAATTTAGGTGAAGATACCAGGAGAAACTGCATCAGTATGGTCGTTGGTTTGTTCGTTGAGCTGGGCAATTTGATTGCAAACGTTTCATCACCAATCGAAGTGACATCATCATTGCGTTATCTAGGAGTGTAGTTCTGCGTAGCGGTGGGTTAGTGGTTGTGCACAACCACTGCAGGATAAAACTGAGCTCACGTATTGCCTGCGCATATATGTGTAGTGGTTAACGGCCCTATGGAGTCTCTAGTGAAAAGAAGATATTACTAATGTAAATCAGAAACAATGTCGCAAGGAGGACAATACAAGTAAATCTTGACCCACATTTACAATAGGAAATTCCGTAGTTCCGTACTCCCCTGAACCACCACTTGAAGAAGAGAGAGGTCTACCTTCCTGGTATTTCAAATCTCCGGTGATCGCAATATTAATTCACATGTGGAAATAGATTAATCCAGTGTTGGTAGCTAAAATTTTTGTCCATGTTTGGAGTTAGTGGCAGATAATTATAGCCAACCGGCAGTCACAACAGCAGTCACTTAGCAAAGGTCCGAAATTCACGTTGGACCCAAAAAGCGGGCGGTTGTAGTTGCATTTCGGCAAAACAAACTTTTGTACAGTAATGTGACTGGTATCGATGAGAAGGAAGATGATACTGAGCATGAAAAATAGCAGTTTACAAGTGCTATATATTCCCTCACTTATACGTTGAAACTGGAAACGGAGAAGACTTACTGCTTTCTTGAGGGAACATTACTCACAGGTTAGTCTTCCATGAGAACTAAATTGGCATGCAAATGGGTGTACTTGTCGGTTTTCCTGCAATTTTGACTCGTATAGAACATAAGACAGAGGAAAACTCAGGGGCAGCGCCTACCTGATAAGACCCAGGAACCGGTCTTGGGTTGTCGAAAAGTTTTTAGTGGTCTTACAAGTATTGCGCTTCATCTAAACCTACTCAGCATCTTACCACAGGATAGTTGTAGAATGCTTAGACGTATTCAGGAAAGCCCACTTGAGTGACGCGCAAAATCACAAGCCAGAAATTGTGGATTCTTGAGATTTATCTAAAGCTGCGGCACTATATGTATAAAATGCGTAAGAAAAGGGATACAAACCTCGAATTATGGGTGTTTCCGTCTAAACTGCTTCACGATATAGTGCAAGTCCAAAGAAAGCCCGGAGAAGATGGCAACTCGGTCTTAGTTTGCGACACACGCCTGGGTACAGAACGTGGTAAGGCAAAGTGGTCAAAAAGCGCGCGCAAAGAATGGCTGAACAAATTTGTTGGACAAGCCAAGGGTTAAAAGTTCATGAGGGATTACAAATGCATATCGAGTCTATGAGGTAGACTCAGTAAACAGCAGCAGACAAGGGAAGAGTTTGCTTGGGGAAAATGAAGTAGAGTAGTTCTCTTCAAATCTAGTTGACTGCGAATTACAAATTAGTGGATTTGTATTAGCCTCACATAACACCGTTAAAAAACAGCTTGCAAGTCCATTCCGAGGCCAATATTCTGTACGTCTGGGGCTGGAAACACCGAAGTGATCTATATACAAAAACACAACGATTTACTCCAGTTTACTGCTGCCCAAATATCTACGGGCCCGTATTATACTCTCGCCGGTTACAGTCAGAAAAATTGTTGAGATGCCATGGCGCAATGAACTGTGCCATGAATTTCTTGGCAGAACGACTTTTTAAGAATCACTCTGTCGATTGAAAGTTCACGTTTAGTTAGAGGGAATTTGCTTGAAACATGAGGGATCTAATCCGTCTATGTTGAGGCTGTTTCTGAAGACATATTTTGGGGATATAATGCTTGAAACACGTGCCCCAAAAGACCTTTGCCACTGATGCCGTTTAAACCAAAATGTTGACTAACCATTGTTTTGTATCACAGAATACAGCAATTATTTTTTCAGTCTGTTCCTTCCACCTTTATCAATTAAACCTGTTTTTGAAGCAGTTATAACTATCAGGTTAAGAGCTGATGTTGCCCAAAGTAGAAGTGTACTGGAGTTAATAGCAGATTATTTCTAGTGCAGTCTTCCCCACGTACACCCTAGTGATAAGTCGTAAATTCCTCAGAAGATTCCGCACACGTAGAACTGGTGGGAAATTTTCCTGCTTCGTGTTCGTCCACGTGAAGTTGACTTCATGTAAGTTTACTATGTCTTCTGTTCTGACACTTTTACTTACCTGTGGCCTCTTAGAAATTGCCATAACGAAACCTTTCAGCATAATTTGTGATTTCGACATAAGTCATACCCAAATCTTGGGCCTCTGCATGACATCACTGCTTTGGCCTGTTAATTCATCGTTTTATTTTGACTACTTCGCTGGTTTCTAAGTAGCCAGTTCCAAGGGCACCTTTGGATCCACAATTCCCTCTCCACTAACTGAGACTTTTGTTGCTCTGTGATCTTGTGCAGGAACAGTGGGTGATTAAAGACAGCACTCAATAATAATAAGGACGGTTGTTCGACTGCGCAACTCGAAAAGTCGCGGGCTGATTGTTGGTCATTCTGAAATTTCAAGCTCAAAATATTACTAAAGTAGCAATTATTATTATACCCTGAAGACTTCATCCGCCGATCATTTGACACCACTAACTCATAGACTGTCTCGCCACATAGCAGAATATAGCTTGGTGTGTTTGGTAACCTCGTAACTTACTCCAGCCTCTGTGGGACAAATTTTACAAATACCAACAGTATCAATGTTACCCATACAAAACAAAACAGACGTCCAAGTTAAAAGTTGTTAGATGTCTTTTCATCATTATTCAATCATCAGTACCCTCCTTGCATGCTGTATATAT